GCTCGAGCAGGTGTCTGGATATACTGGACCTGATAAAAGAAGTACAGTGTTTCGGAGAGAATAGGTGGTGTGTACAATTATTACTCACAGCTTTCGCATTTCTCTTCGCGCTACATGGACCTTCTGATGAATTTGGGCACGGTGCTTTTACTGAGTGTGGTAACTGATATGGAACAATTACCTGGAATAAGGTGTATTAAATTGGAAAAATTGAAAATAACCTCTTAAAAATTACAAAAATACTTTTTTCATAAATCCGTCATAATTTATACAAAAAATCCAAAAAAAAGGTTATATTTGCAAAACCGATGCTAGTCGTACTGAAGAGCTTGTGAAGTAAAGAAAAATTAAGATCGAAGCGCACAATGACAATGTATAGATGAGAGAAGAATTCTTTGTCAATGCCATAAAAACAGCGAAGGAAACATATTTTAATTTTAAAAAGACGAATATTGCCAGAAAATCTCACATTCAACAGTAACTCCTGCACATTGAGTAATGTCTTGATGCCAATTCCATTTTCATATTCTAATCCATCGGCGTGCTCAACAACATAATTAGGTGCGCAATCAAAGAGAGCCAAGTACAAAGCAGGAATCTAAATCAAGATCTTTTCCATAAAGAAAACAGCTGATGTTAACTCTAAATTAATGAGCAGAGGTTTAACACTATAGTTCTTCTTGGGTATAAAATTCGTGTAACATTTTTCACAAATTTCTACTCAAACAAACATCAGAGAACAACTGGAGTGTGAAAGGCAAAATCCTTCTACGAATTAACGAAATAAAAAATGATAGAAAAGCTCCTCGAGGTATAAGCAATAAGCTCGATCTTTAGATTACGTGTATGACAACTCTCACAACTCTGTAGTTTTGAATAGCTCAGGGAAAGGCAGCCAGAACATTGTTAAATACAAGATAGATTGTAGAAATCCTGCTCATCTAAGAACAAAAGAGCGGAAAGTTTCACAAAAAAATAATTTCACCTTAGCTGCTGGTATGTTATCAAAGACCTTCTTTGCCATCAGGAGGAAACTAGGGCGTGCCTGTCCATTCCGATCCTTTCCCTTCGAATTTCTGATACCGTTTAGTTTCACCAGATCAGCCTTAAGAAGAGAGCCTATCCCAAAGCTTACGCGCATTGAATAGAACCAACCTTATAAAGTTCGCAAAGAGTATCTAGTATAAATTCTGTTTCTTGGGTCGAAGCCAACTGTTCCATTTTGTTTTTTGTTTGAATAAAGTTAGTACACTAACATAGGGTACGCTTTAGTTTCTCGTGCAAAAATCTCTGAAATGACCATCTT